GATCCCTAAATTGGCAAAGACAATAAAGAAGACTGAAGTTAAGTCGCGTCCCTCCGCTGTGCACGTCCATTGGAGCAGAGACACGAGACTTCGTCGTGACACGCTGGTTTACCACCAATCAGTCCGATCCACGTCGTGGACGGAAATCCTGAGGAATCACACTAAAGCCAGTCGTCCTACATAGAAATTACTAACGATAGTCCGTCGGCGTGCGCGTGCAAGCGTCCACGCAACCGCGTCAACGACAGTGAAACGGAGCCGCGAACCGACAGAGGAAACGGAGGATTTGTCACGAAGGCAGTTTGGTTTAACTGATCTCATCCGTCTTGTCGCGGACGTTGGCTACGTTCTGGCAGCTGTCTTCGTCCGTTGTCTCAACAACGCAGCCCTGGCTTCATTGTGCGCGGCGACGACTCTCGATTCACCCCCCTCGTCTTTTTCAAACCGAATTGAATCGTCTCGTCTATCCTAACGGGCCAATGATCCCGGACTTTTAATATTCGACTGTGGCACCACTACCCTGTTAGCCTATTGCATTGTTGCAATTGGGAGCAGGTTCGAAGTTTCGAGATCCGTTTATTAACCCTTGTCGTACGATTTTGCTTGCGATTGTACGAATATGGTTTGTTTCAGTATTAATCATTTGTAAGAATGCAAACGAATTTTCTGTTTATTGTGGTAGCAAGATAGACTTTTGCTTTCGTTTATGGGTAATTGATAATATTCATTTTTATTAAATTATTCTTCATCGTGAGTCTTGCTCGTCATTATAAACGAACTAGTATTAGCAACAAATTCACATATTATAGAGTATAGTCGTGAATTTATTGGAGGAATCTTTAACAAGTTCTTTGAAAGTAGGTGCATAATTTTGAAATGTTTTGAAGGTTGAATTGTAGATAATTTTCATGTGTTTTTTTTATTGTTTGTTTTAATTATTAGTGATTACCATTAGTAGTCAAATTTTCAAGCCTTATCAATGAAATAACCTAAATTCTTCAGTATTTTTTATTTTGTAATGTAATTTAATTGAATTTTTTATGCTACTGTGTCTAAACATTTCAATCCACAGCTTCAAAATGAATCTTCATCTTTTGTTTAAAACGTGATATAGTCATTTATACTTAATTCCTTTTCTGTATCCCAAAGAAATTCATTGATATAGAGAATCCATGTTTCTTGAATTCAGAATATTTAAATTTCTGTCTTAAATTTTCAATCCCGTAGTAACCTCGAAACGTAACTTTTATCTCTGAGCTTTGAATGAGCGTCAAACTCGGTGAACTCATGCGTGTTACGAGTGTCACTGTGTATACTGTTGCGTGTGGACGTGTCTAACAATAAGTCGAGAAATGTGTGCCATTAAGATGACATTTACAAACGTTAGAACCATTTTCTGCATCCCACGCGCCACCATAAAAGAGTCCTGATTGTTACGTCACGTGCTTTATTCTATTAACATCTATTTTTTTATGCGTGCCGATATTAATTACGAACATCACGATGTATTCTCATCCACCATTTACCGTTGCAACACAAACCATAATTTGCTTAACAATAGCCGTTTAATTAACCAAGATATAAGAAAGTGACCCATGCGTCTCGTATGATTTGTATATTGGAGCAATCGTTAGCTTTTCAATGCAATTTCGAACAGAAGTCGGTCAAGCATTCAATATTATGCAATTACGTTTATTAAGTAGCGTGTATATGTAGTAGAAATGTTTCATACATATTCTTCAATATGTTAAAATTCACAAATAAAACTTTCTGCTATTATTTTGCTTCAGCTACATATTTTGGTATGTAAACTAATGATCAATGCTATTGACAACCATAATTTGTTATATATATATATATATTTATATTTCCTAAGAAGAAGAATTTATTTCCAAAAATGACCGTCTTTCATTTATTTCCAAATTACACATTTCACCTTTGCTCGATGAAACCGATACACGATGATCGCTTTAAAATAGAATCAATATTATCGGAGAATAAACAGCAATGATCAGTAGCATTATCTCGCGTGTATCATTGCTGTTTCGAATTTAATAATCGAATCATCCGAAGGATGACGAAAATTGCAGGAAGGACGAGCATGCTTGCATCACGCGGGATTCTGAAAGCAAAGGTCACGTTCGGATAACGCGAATAATCCGCGAGGCCTGCAGCCCCGCGTTCTGTGATAAAACATAAGTACACCGAGGTTGGTCTTGTTGCTTTCCTTCTTCGTCTATGTTGAGCGGTTATTCGCTACGTTGTTATAGTCGTGACGGGTACGTGTGTGCGGCTGCATTAGTTCCTCGATGTACTTTACACCGCGCAGGGCGCGTTAATCGAACTTTAAGTACACGCCGGCCGAGTGTGTGATTGAGCACGAATGTTATTTGAGAATCGACATTAATGATTCCGACGAAAACGAATACATTAACTCTGAGATATACAAATGTATGCGGGACCAGTGCTTAGAGCGGGTTTCTTCTCGGCACGGTGAAAGCACACGAAGTTCTGAAATACACTAATTAGAATAATACTGGGTGTCCTGTAGGTAGCAGTGCAACTGACAGGGCGGTGATTTTATATGACGAACCTAAATTGAAAATATAGCATCAACAAAATTTTGTTTTAACAAGTTATAGTATGATTTTTTATTATTTTCAAATATTTCTGTCACGTTGCTATATACCAGAATTAGAAGTACCTGGTTTGAAAAAAAGAATTTGATTAAATAATAATTCAATTTTGTAATGAAGTAAATAACTATTTTAGAATAAGTGCATAATGCTAAGTTAGATTTAAGTGAATGAAATTATTTCAGTTCTCAAAGTGAAAAATTCTCTGTTATCTCATAAATCACTAAAATAATTATACAGTTTATATTATAATTTAAATGCAGTACCACGTTATAAATATAATAATTAAAATTAAAACAATATTATAATCAATTCTGCTCATCTTAATATCCAGAAGTAGAAAATGCAAAAACCAAACTCTACCACTGCACCCGTTAAAATGAGTTTCAAAATAAAAGTAAACAAGTTCCACGACAAATTTTTCTCAGTGAAAACAGAAACAAAAAGAAAGGTAACAATGGAAAAACTGATTAACCGAACAATGTAAGAATTTATATAAAATTAACACTAAAACTACCAGACGTGTCAAAATGACCCATTCCTGATTTCTTCATTTTCCAATTATTAAAAAGATAGCAGATGTTTCTCTGAGAAATTATTAAAGAAATTGATTTAGCAGTACACAGACGGAATTATAAATCAATTAAAGTCTCTTGAAGTTTCTATAGAGGAATTTCAAAATTTAGTGTTAAATGAACGAAAGAAAACGTCGACTTTTAAATCAAATTTTTAAACCGATCATTTGACCGGTTCGCGGTACGGTTAATGTTAAAAAACTACGAAATAGCAAACCAATAGCCAAAATCGGTGGTAACCAGAACCCCCAATCCGCGACGGCCAAAGACAAAAACAAATGCGCTTGCAACGTGCAAGCGGACAAACCTTTGACTTGTTTCCTCGGGCCCTGTTTTATTAGAGAAGGCCTTCTGTTTTATGCAAGTGACGCACGTGCAGTCGTCGGTTCGGCTCGTGTGAAATTATTCAGACGGAGGTTCCGGCAAATGGTCGAGAGAGCAGGATGTGCGCGGGTGGTTTCGCCCCGAACCCCGTTCCCTAGTTCGGGTCGCGTTTACACCCGAGTCGGCTCGAAGGGGTCTCCGATATTTTCGCTCCCTTAAAGGTGCCTCCTTTTTCCGTCCCTCGATCTATCCTTATCTCTCCGTATTCTTTAAGGGGGGATACACGAAAGTTCACTTTGCACGGCGTGTCAAAGGTTCCCTCCCCAGCCCCGTGCCCTCAGCCCCTCTCACGGATCCACTGTAACCCGCGTTCACCGTTCTCCAACTGGGCTTTAATTGCTAACACGATAAACGGACGTCAGGTTGCGCCTCCTCTTCTTTTTCAACTGTTCGCCTAGGGAGCGGATATTGTACATTTTCGACAACCGCCTATCTTGTCCGTGAACGGTGAAAGGAGATATTACTTTCCTCTGCCCCGCAGCTTGGCGCTCTTCGTTTTCTATGCGCTTTTGAAAGTCGTGAGAAAAGCAGGTTTCAACGTTATTTTCGTTCGATTTGTGCTTTGTTTAGTGGCAGTTGAGTTTGGGTTTTCTTTGGGGAAGATTTGTTTTTGTTTATTAACCCTTTGTTTGATAATTTCTTTTACGACTGTGCTTGATATAACTATTTTATTGTTTCTAATTTGCTAGGAGAAGAAGAATATTTCGCGATAATTCTATGGATACGTTTATTCTAAAGCATTATGATCGATAATAAAATAACATTAAATTTGAATTCAAAGGAATTAAATGACATTTGTATTTGTTGAATTCTATTTGGAATTTTGGGGAGTATTGCACGATGTTGTAGAACAAGGAGTTCATTGACGAAAGAAATTGTTTATGGTTGAATTGAATGAACGAATTCGTAGTTTTGAATGTAATGTATGGAATTATGTACAACTAATATTTTCGACTTTTACATGTTGACTTGCACGTTCAGTTCTGCAGTAATTAATTAATTTTACGTTCAGGAAATAATGCTGAAAATTATTAAATATTATATTATTAATACATATTATATTAATATTGTATTATATTACGATTTATATATTTATTTCTGTTTACTCTTCGCATTTAGAAATCACTGACGCACTACATTTTTTTACTACTACTGGTAGAATATTCTTACTTTATGGTGCATATGATTCATATAATGCAAATGAGCGAACGAAGATAATGTACAAACAATGTAATTGTTGTACTCATATTTTAATGATACACGACGACGACGTCATCCTGCTAGTCATATGTCACGTATTCCCAGCGAATCAATTAAATCGATTTCTGTCGTATATCAATTCCTATCAAAACCTTTTTTCTCACCCGCGTACATTTAACTGATTGCGTTTCGTTCATTGTTTCAGGTTTTGTCTCGTGTTCGCCGAGCCCCTGCAAAAACGGAGGAGTGTGCATGTCATCGCTGCGGAGCGAGTCACATTGCAAGTGAGTGCACAGATTTATACCCTATTATTATAATTGTGCATTGTCATAGCCACCGCCAAAGGATTGTGCGTGAATCCCTGTACAATATGGGAAAAATGTACTATCACCTTGCTATCGCGAAATATGTTACAATAACCCTTCCGATATTGTATGGAGTAACGTGGCGAGGAAATTGTAGAAAGATATTAGGTTATTTTTAAATTGCTAATTGGAGACGAGAATATTCATCACTTGTATGTATTTTTATTTTCAATTAATTTTTAACGTTCCTGGTTAAATTATATCATAATATAATGACCCAATTATCAGATATGTAAAACTTTGATTTTTTTTAAAGTAGATTTCTTACTAAAAAGTAATTTCTAAAAGTGAAATTGTGAAGTATGAAGTAATTTCTAAAAGTGAAATTATGAAGTATGAAGTAATTTTGAAAAATGAAATGTAAAATATAAAATAAAATATAAGTATTAGATAATTTTTGAATGTAAAATAATTACTTGAAAGTGAAATACCTTTAAATTCAATTTAATTTTATGAGAAATATTTCTCGCTAATGGAATCGTTTACAGTTTCATCAAAATTGTAAACGTGAAAAATAATTGAAGGTAAAAATATAGGTTGATCGGTGGAATAGTTTGCCAATCATGTTTTCTTTTTCCCTGCGGTGGAATCAATGTGTCTCCGGCCTCGAATGACCGCACGATTCGATCGCGCGAAATGACGTTTGGGCTCGCATCGATAGAACGTAATGCCGACAGAATGGCGTGGGACGGAATGGAACGAGATGGAACGAGATGGAACGAGATGGGCCGAGAGAACCGGTAATAGCTGTAATAGTTGCCAGTCGTGACCCAGCGACGCATCTAAATTACCTTTATCTTCGAACCAGCGTAGTTTTCACTTTTGTATCAGCCAGCTCGACACCTTCTTTGATCCATCATTGATCCTTTTATTATACTGCCCACAAGTTATGCAAATAGTGGCAAAAGTTTAGGTGCCGTAATCTTTTTATTCTACAAATTAATTCAGAAACACGAACATAACTAAATAATAATCAATATAATATTATTTATCAATTGTTTTCTATTAAAAATTATTTTCTTCATTTTCATTATATTCAATGAAAGATTCTTCTACTTATGTTTTAATTCACGTAGAGTATTTCAGTCTTAATTCCTTATTTAACAAATATAAAATTAACTGAACTTATTGTAAATTGCTTGAGACACGTTCACGAACATTCAACACAAATCGTTTGTGTTCGAGTAAATTGAAACAACAGAACGATAACAGTCAGCATGAGGAATGATATATAGCGGAAAAGAAATAACCCATACAATCCAATGAATCTCGAGTGGTACATACGTACTGTAGGGAAGTACACATACATAAATCTACGGCAACCTTTAAGATATTAGGTTTAATTACGAGTCGGAGATAATGGTGCTACGCGCTCGTGGCCTCGGTGTTCAATTTTTAGTCACCGTCCCCGCTTATATTGTATTTTCTACTCTTATTTCATCTTCTCTTCCATTATCCTCTTATCTTGCTTGCGGCCGGCGATACTACCACCTTGTGAGGCCGCCTCGCGCGAGGACTAATTCATCTCGTTGCAAATGCGAACAGTGCTAATCTCACAGTTGCAACGATGCGCTTTTGAAAGCAATTCTACGTACGTGTAATTTGACGGATACTAATCACGGCGGACTGTTACAATTCAGCAGGCGTTAGTGGAAATCTATTACCGAGCTCGAGGGTACGTCGGTATTAAACATTACCATTCAGGAAATTACTAAAAATCATTCTTGTAAATGTCTCTACCGATAGAATAACTGTATAAAGAAACTTTTGTTACCTAGAAATTTCGTTTTACTGCAACATTCAGAATTTGAAACAAATTCGACGAATATAATTATTTTTTGCCATACATTAAAGAAATTATTTGTACAAAAATAAATTATGGATCTTCCATGGAAGCCAACAAATTTTCTAAATGTGACATGAAAGTACAATTTTTAGTATTACTAAAGTTTTAAAATTAATAAATTCTAAATTAATGAAAAAGATGAAAACTAAATTGTTTTTTAAGAAATCAATTAACTATCAATATAATAATAATAATTAAAATAAAACAATTCTTTTCCTTTCCATCGATACCGATGAAAAAGTATTAAAATTCATAGTTCTCTCGAATCTGCAGCCCCAAACACGACAGTCCCTGATCGCTCTCCGTATCTCCCACACGGAATGACTATAATCCAATACAATAACAAATTTGGCTAGTGCCACTTGACAATATGGTGAGTTAAAGCTGCCGCTAACGGATGGAGGATCCTGGACAATAGGGTGGTAAGCATCCCCCATGCGATCACGTGCGCCGCTCGCACATTCATGCGTTCTGTGCGTTTCGCGAGGATACACACGTGTCCCTGCGGCACTGCGATCGCATAGATCCGCTCGCACAATGGGCTTGCACTTGCACAGTTACATGTTTACGTGGATGCGCTAACGCGTGCGTTCAAACGCATAGCGTGTGGACAGGTCACGTGTGCCGGCACGTGACCTCTATAGATTTTGCATCGGTGCTCTGGTACCGTCGAATTGAAGAAGGGTTCGTTTGTCCGGAGAAATAATATTGTTTTTCTATTTCGAAGTCTGCCTCCCTTTCGACCATAGTATCGATTCCCGAATCGAACATTTTCTTTTTCCTCATTGAAAAATGCAACTCCAACTCGTGTTGATAGAAGACTACTAGATTTATTATTTATCGTATTTTGGCCTATATATAATATTGCAGTATGTTTTAAAAAAATAAGATACGTAATTGGTTAAAAAGAATTATTTTTGTTGTCATCTGAAGCTATTTGCATAAGATAATGATAATATGTAAAGGTTGTTAACTTTTCTAATTTTTTAATTAACTAATGTGAGTATTCAAAGGAATATTGTAATTCGAATCAAATCTTAATCTTTATGCTGATGTACAGTTTCAAACATTTACATGAATTGTTGGTACTTGACAATAAATATTTTAATGAAATTATATATAAAATAATGCAGCAAAAAACTTTTACCTTTAATGTTTTAATGTTCTGTACAAATTTATGGCTTCGTTTGTCAATTTCAATGAAACGAAATAAACGACTACTTGCTAATGGGGACATGGTCACTAATGGGATCATTTACCTTTATCACTTTAAGCTTATAAATTTAGGTGGTTGGGATGAGGTCGTTGCCTGGCGCAACTGGTACCCCATCACCAATCCCTTTTCTTGAAAAAGAGATTGTAATAAAGTATTTATATATCTAAAGGAAGTCTATTAGAATATTTACTCTATTGTGAATTTAACAGATCCTTTATTTTCAATAAATTTTTTGGTAATATCTTAAATTAATTCATGGATTTCCCACTATATTTAAGTTTCATTACCATACTATTACACTATGCAAGTCTACAAGTAACAATACTCCTCAACACGTTTTAAATTTGTAAGTACCTCGACTCTCCATTCCTTATATTTCGTTGTAATAATTGCCTCCTTGCAAGATAATATTATCCTTCTTTTTATGAAAACAGTAACCAATGATTTTCATATTCTTAATCCTCGTTTTTTACTTTATCATTGTTCATCATTCTTCATAACTGTTTCCTTCCTGACATTTTTTTCAAAAAACATTCACGGTATTAAGCCGCAAAAAGATTTACTATCTTCAGTAAAAAAATCGGGGATTCTTCGATATTTTTATTCTTTTTTTATCGATCCAGAAGTTAGGGGATACTTTGGGTAAAAACATTAAGGAAGAGTTCCGGCCGTGAATGTGCAGCTGCGTGACCGTTAACCCCGGAAATTTTTTCGTCCGTGGTGGCCGACCTGTGTCGCACGGGGGAAGGGTTCGTCGAGCGAAGCAACATATGCACGATGATGGATGGCAACGTGCACGCATCCCCTGCGCGAGTCACGGGGTGCTTTTGAACGGGCGTGCGCGTTTGTATCGTACACGGGTTGACGGTTCCTTTGAGAAAATAGCTTGGATTCCGAGCAAGCGGTCGCTTCGGGGGTTGTTCGCGCGCGAGTACTAGAAATCCATGTCGGACTGTTGTTACCGATTGTTGTTCGTTTTCATACTGTGCGGAATGTTGTACCCCTGCCCAAAGGGGTGTGGTTAACGTTGCAGACATGAGACTAATTATACTTCGTACCCTGTGATTTATGTTCTTCGCAGGTACGGTTGTTGCATTTTAAAGAGCTCATCTGACAATGAGTTACTGAAATTGCTATTTCTTGCCATACTTATTTTACTGTAGAAAAAATATACTTTCTGGGGATTATGGAAGTCATACGTTTGCCAGTTAAGATTATCGGTAGAAAGAATAGAACAGAGATTTTTGAATAATTTGAAAAATCTTATTTTATTCTATCCTTTCACGCTTCTCATAATATTTCTGTCATTATTAATACCAAATTGTATTGATTAATTGTTTTTAATACGATTAAACCCCTACTAAATATTATTCCTAATACCAAACTTTATTCCTAATGGGAAATACTAAAAATAGATGTCATCGAATCATACAACGAAGAAAAGAGTAATAAATTTGCTATTTTACAATTTTGTAATACTCTGCTGTTTCGGAAGTTAAAAACAGCCACGAAGGAATGCAAATCCAAGCATCATTGTTTATCAGCAATTCCAAACGGTTACATCTTGACCGCGGGTAGCTGGTCAGTCCCTTCAACGACAATCACCGTCAGAGACGCTGCGCAGCCTCTGTCTTCTTTCAATGTCACAGATACTCCCGTCGGTTCCTTCCATTGGTCCACGGGCAACGGCGTCCAAGTGCTCGAACACGCCGCGAATTGATGGGTACCATTAGCGGCAATCATTGCCATCTGTTCCGTTGGGAAACGCTCTACGCCTCGTTCTGCGAACTTATCTGTCCGGCGCGCGTTACATCGGACGATTTAGACAGACTACGCGTACCGCTCTTATCGTCCGTT